TTTGGAGATTGTTTGCTGGATTGCAAATTAGACGACATTCTGCATCATTGTGGTTGTCTACCATTTCATTTCGATTTAATACAACTGGAAAGGAATGTGATATGGATGATCTTCTGTGTCTCAGTCAATTTAGAGGTAAGTAATTAGATTTACAAAATCAATATTACCAAAATGTGTATATTTTACCATTTTAGCAAAATGGATGGCAATAAGATCAGTAAAAGTAGTCGAAGGTGGAACTGACGATAAAGATACTTTAGTATGTGACCATTGTAAACCTTCTTGTCAATCTGTTGACTATCAAGTACAAGGAAGCGAAATTTCTTTTGATGGGTCTTCGATGAAAAAAATCAAAACGCATTTTCCAAGCTTCGACTTGGAGTAAGATCTCAAACATCCATTTCATGAACAATTAGATTTTTGAAAAAAATTGAATAAAATTTTGGTATTTATCAATATTTATTTTACAGGAGATACGAAAAACAAGACAGACCTAAATGTAGTTCACGTTTTCTTTCAAGAAGGTCAGACGATTGTGTACATGCAAAAAGCATTGTTCACCTGGTACGGAACTTTAAGTAAGTACAAAAAACAACTGCTAGTCCTCATCTAGTTCCTTAAATCAAATAAGACCAAATTTGGAAAAAGTATGAGTGTTTGTGTGAGTCAATTTTTTACCTATAGACGACTTTTGGCTAGACCAAATTTTAAAAATTTCAAAGCCATTCGATGTAACTCGATAAGGACTTGCGTTTGACAGTTTTTCAGGACTAACAGCCTTAGTTTCATCAAATAGTTTTTAAATTTTTTAAATCGGTGCAGCCGTTTTTGAGAAAACTCGGACGAAAGTCAAATTTTGGATCATTTAGAGTTTTTGCAAATTTGGTGTCAAACAATTCAGAATGACTTGAAAGTATTAAGCAATCGATAATTACTCATCATCATAAATAATATGCTATATATATAAATATATTAACATTTTCATTGTGAAGCGGAATGACATGGATGCGATAGCATTCAAACTTTTAAAACGTTTTTCAGATAGTAATTACTTTTGACTTAGTAATTCTTTAGGTATTTTCATATTATCTTATCTTTTCCTGTAGTCACTAATTATCTTGAGCAACCTAATTGCGTAAAATAGAAGAACAATACTTGACGTGGATGCTATAGCATTCATAACGATTAAAATATGTTAATAGTATTTTCGTATTATCGTATCTCTTCTTGTAGTCACTAATTGCCTTAGGCAAGCACTTTGCGTAAAATAGAAACGTAATACTTGACGTGGATGCTACAGCATTCATCTAGTATATACCGATTAAAATAAGATAATCTGACTACGCTTATAAACAATGTTCGGATATAACAAGCAATTCGAAAATAAAATGGCTTAGTTTTTTTACCTTGCTAGAACTTTTAATACTCAGGAAAGTGTTAATTAGTATTTTTTTATTTTAGGTAATTTGGGATCGTTGATCAGCATTTTCGGAGGAGCCAGTTTACTGACAGCCTTTGAATTTGTTTACATTATGATTATTGAGCCAATAATCAATAAAATCAAAACAAATTATATGAAAAAGAAAAGTAGGAAACCCAAAAGTAGACGAATCTCGACAATAACTTAAGATGAGGGATACAACTGAGAAAATTGTTGAAGATTATGAGAGTAGAAGTAGAACTTGAAAATACAATTAGTAAAATAAATTTGTAATGATGCATAATATAAAATGCTAAGTAATTCTGATTATTCAATTAAATATAATACAAAGAGTAAATTAAAAAAATGAATATCTACATATGACTAAATACTTGGAACTTTTCTGCTAATTTTGAAGAAACGACCATGAAACGACTAGGCCTCATTACCAAATTCCGTCAAATGGCTTTAAAATATTTAAAATCGGTTTAGCTGTTTTGGGAATGCTATCAAAAGATCAAATTGTGTCGCACACAAACATATTTTTCCAATTTTGTTGTGAAAAGATTCAAAATGACTTAAACAGATTTACGGCTAAAACATTTACTTTTGCCAGATATTAAATGTTATATTATGCCAAGATAATTTTTTTTAACTGCGCAACTTCGGGAAATGAAAAAAAAAATACTTTAGCAAAATATAGAATTTTATTCCGACATTTTTCTGTCCCATCCATATCAATGCAAATTAAGATACACATTATGATAACTAAATAATCAAATCATTCAGAATCATATTAATAAATCGATGTCTAGCGTGTATCACATTTTGATTTCCCACGATTGATAAAAATCTCATATTCGTAATTTGTTTGGAACGATTCTATTATTTCTAGAAGTGTCTATTATTTTTGCATTACTTAGTAAAGTATTATTTTCACTAACATAAATTATACCAAAAATTGTTGAATATATAGAAAAATACATATACACATATCTGATAATACAAAAGTAACTTCTTCTAGAATCATTATGTTTAAAAATCAAAATTAAATTGCAGTGCAATTTTGAATTTCGTGAACAGTTTATTAAAATTAGTCTGGTTATTTTAGTAAAAACATTTACGATCAGAAGGTCATTTTAATTGGATTATTTTTCAATGAAGATAGGTACAAATATTTCTATAATTTTCAAATGCAATCAATTGTTCGCAAATTTATGGCAGTGTTAAGTGATTACCTAAAAAATTGCACCCTGCATGGTGCCAGGTACATTGCTGATGAAACACTTCATTGGACTGAAAGGTAACATTAAGGAAAATATTTTCATAAACTAAAATCTGTTAACAAATCGATGTTAACAGATCTGTTAACAAAACAAATGAACGATTTTTAAAATTTATTATTTAATTAATAAATTTATTTATTCAGAACGTGGCATTTTTTGAAAATTTGTCAAATCGTGTCAAAACAAACACAGTAATATCCCAAGTTTAAGTGACAATGAATAATTTTCAATACTTGATATTCAACTATCAATAGCTTATAAGTACAAATAACCCTATTAAACGCTTATAAATCACATTTATGTGAAAGCATGCATATTACTCGTAATTTAAATTTTCGGAGAATTATATTTTTATAAAAAACATGACAATTTTTCAAAACTTGAATAAAAAAGGATCAAGCTGAAAAAAACAAGCAATCCCACCCAGAAGAAAAGAAAAGAGTTTTTTAGAATACTTGAGCTGACAATTGAGTTCCACAAAATCTAAGTAGTACAAATTACAAAAACTAATTAAATTTTTGGTTGCAAAAAATAATTTTTGGTCTATTACCGAGTTCTGTAATCGACTTTCGAAATTAAAAATTGTAAATTCAAACATTTCTCAATAAAAAAGTCGACGATAACACAACAAAATATTTTTATATTCGAAATAATCTTCAATAAAACAACACAACTTTCTTACAAATATCTGTGAGATTCAAATGTATGTTGCATTGATTACATTATTATAAAAAATAAAATAAAATGTATGAAGGACTTTCAATTTTATGCTACAAAAATTAGAAATTTTAGAATTTAAAAATAAATTAGAACATTTCTGCACAAAAATTGACAAATCGTTTTATTTTTAAATTTGTTGTAATATCCAAAATTTGATTAAACAACGTTTATAAAAGTAGTCAGATTATCATATTTTATTCATTATGTACTATATGAATGCTATAGCATCCACGTCATGTATTACGCTTCTATTTTACGCGAAGTGCTTGTACAAGGTAATTAGTGACTACGGCAAAAGATAATACAAAAATACTGTTATCATATCGCAATCGTTATATACTAGATGAATGCTATAGCATCCACGTCAAGTTTTACGCTTCTATTTTACGCGAAGTGTTTGCAAAAGCTAATTAGTGACTACATAAAAAGATAATACAAAAATACTATTATCATACTATATTCATTATATGTCAAATATCTCCCTTCCGCTTTTTTGCTCTTGGTTTATAATACAAAAAGACGGAAGGGAGATATTTGATAACCTAATACTAAATGAATGCTATAGCATCCACGTCAAGTAATACGCTTCTATTTTACGCAATGTGTTTGCATAAACTAATTAGTGGCAACGGGAAAAGATAATACAAAAACACTATTATCATACTATATTCGTTATATACTAAATGAATGCTTATAGCATCCACGTCAAGTATTGCGCTTCAATTTTACACAATGTGCCCAAACTAATTTGTGACTACAGAAAAAGATAAAATACGAAAATACCTAAAAATCAGTTAGTCATTACAGGTATAATAAATACCAAAACGTAAAGTTAAATCATTTAAAAATCATTGACTTTAAAATTTGAATGCTATAGCATTCACGTCCAAAACAAATTTACTTTCCCCTCAGATCATTCTGGATAGTATGCGTGTGCATGTCCTGGGTAGGATCAGTAATCCTGATCCTGTCATCCTTAGATGCATATTACAACAATGCAATTTCCTTCGTGGTGGAAACTTCTTATAGAGATTGGGACACTCATTTTCCGGCAGTCGTCTTATGCGAAACCAAAAATATGGACGGGGTTGAGGACGTGGCCGAAGAGTAAGATAAAATAATAATGAAAATATTTTGAAATAATTATAAAATTTATATTTCTTTTCTAAGATTGTGGGGCGAAGACCACGACTACACCCTTGAAGAAATTTTAACAGAACTGGCATATTTCCGAGGCGAATCCTATCACACCATACATTTGTGCGGAGCAGAAGATCCAGATCCGAATTGTATTTATGGAAATTTTAGCATAGTTGCTAACAAGGTAAAATACAACCTTGAAACTAGTTGGTATTGGTATTTATCCTTGAGGCAAGTTATATGAACTTCCCAATATGTGTAAATAATCGACTTAATCAATAAAAAATAAATTAATTTATGAGTTATTAAAAGTATCCCTAGTGGATTTATTACATATAATTGAAAACGAATGAACACGTTAACGCGGGGTATTTTCTAAAAGCAAATTTTCACAAATCAATAATTTTTATAATTGAACCAGTTTCCGTAGGACTTTAATGGTTTAGTATGTGCATTGAGACCAACCATCGTTATACCAAGTATATATGAAGTTATAAAAAAGCAAGTAAGGATTTTTTTTTGCAAAATGCTAACATAGTAATAACCCAACTATTACGGATTTTGGTTCTATAACTCAAGATATGTTTTGGTATAACAAATACAACCGACAGTTGTACTTAATAAATAACACTATAACACTATAATGTTTTTTTGTGATTTTTTTCCATAATTTCAATCGTAAATTTTGTTATATATTTATTTATAAAATTAATAAATCAATCAATAAATTAATGTAATAGTAAATTAATTTTTAAAAAATAAAAAAAAAATTAAATGTAAGTTTAGTTTGCGACGAGTCGTCGCCGACACGATTTGCCGCCGGAGCGGCGGCATCCGAACTTAACGGTAAAACATATCATGCCGCCGGAGTGGCGGCATCCGAGCGCAACGGTAAAATGACTATGCCGCCGCAGCGGCGGCATCCGAGTCGAAAGGGTTAAAATTGAAAGACTTGTCGTATGGCCGTAATATTTTAGTATGATCTATAAGACTTGGTATCTACCGCCTAAAAAAATGATAAAAACCGTCGAAAAACATTCTTTTACACTTTATTACAGAAAACGGCCCGGCCGATCTTTACCAAAACTATCAGCACGATTCCCAACTAATATCTTTCGAACGGTTTTTGAATTTTCAAAATCGATTCAGAATTACGAGCTAAAACGTGGACGAAAATTTTTTCACTTTTCTGCTATTTACAAAAAAACGGCTTGGCTGATCGTCGCGCAAAATTGATAAATGCTAGTCCTCATCGCGATACATCGAATGGCTTTTGAATTTTTGAAATCGGTCCAGTCGTTTTTGAGAATACGTCGGTTTACGAAAAAAAACACTTCACATACACGCGCACACACATACTTTTTCCCAATATGGTCTCATTCGATTGCGAATGGCTTGAAACGTCCAGAAAGCATAAAATTAGCGAATCGGATTTTTTTAAGAAAATATAAACTTTTCCTTCGGGAAGTTAATAAAATAGTTTTCATAAAGCATTTGTTATCCAGATACGAAGCAAGTGTCTCAAAACAGTCCAAAATTGCACTTGGAACCAAGAGGAATTTGATTGCTGCGAATTTTTCCAGGAGATGCAAACCGAGCTAGGAATTTGCTATGGGGTAAATTCCTTACAATCCAAGTAAGCATATATTTACACAAATTATGATACGACTAGATAATCAATACTACTTTTTCAATTTCAGTAATCCTACCCACAGGACACCAATGATCAGTAATTCAGTTTCAGGAGCTGGTAAGTTGAATTTCCAAGTTCTGACCGAAGCAAATGTAAGTATTTACTTGAAATGTGTGAGAAGAATCTATATTTAAAATTTTGATGTCATGGTAAATTTTTTAGATTTTTATATTGGGCGAAGAAGAGGTTCCTACAGTGATTACTTCAAAGTCGGATTATATTGTTGTAACTCCTTATGCCAATTATGAGTAAGTTGTAAGATGTAAATTTAGTTTAAAAGATAGTTGTTTAGAAAAGGAATTCGAATTTGATACACAACATTATAAAATTTCGGAGAAAAAAGTTAATGTTTTCATCAGAAATTGGTTATTTTCAAAATAATCGAAAACCTTCAAAATTGTCAAAAAACATCAAAATTTAAAAAAAAATATTTTCAAAAATTACAATATTTAAAAAAAATGATTTTTTTGTTTATTATTCCATAAATATAAAAATACAGTTAAACGTATGAATTGGTCTTTTTTTCTTATGTGATCAATTTTTTCTAAATATTGTCAATACGACCGGGCAATTTGTAAAGCAAAATTTTTAACCAAAAAAGACAGACCTATAAATAACGATATGTTACACTTTTCTGTGTAACTTCAATAATAACTAGTGGTGTATGGCATCGTGCCTTAAGACAAATTGCTGGAACTTTTCGTACCATAATGAAATATTCGAAGAATAAAATTCAGTTCACAAAAAAAATTTTGGATATTAAAAAAAAAATTTGAAACAAAAACAAAATTTACCAAAAACAATATTTTTGTCATCAAGTTTTTTGAATCGCATACTCCGTTTTCTCAAAAATTAGTTATTTTCAAAATATTCTAAAAAAAAATCGAAATTTTAAAACAATTTCCAAAATTTCAATATTTCTAAAAAAATCGATTTTTTGGTTGTTGTTCGCGTTCAATAAGATAATAATCAATTATTTTCTAAATATAGCAAAACGACCGAGCAATTTGTAAAGACAAATTTTTGTAAATTTGTATCTGAGAACTTCAATGATAACTAGTGGTGTATGGCATTGTTCCTTAAGGCAAATTGCTGGAACTTTGTTTTAAAAATTGCTTCAAAAATATTTTGAAAAAATAAATTTCGATATCATTATGAATATATGTTCTTCAATGACCAAAAATTCATATCAAAATAAATTGCACACATACACACACAAACAAACTATTCAGTTTCTGCAGCTGAACAAAATGCGATGCAATTCGTAAGTCATTTAACAGAATAATACCAAAATTTTAATTGAGACACAATTTAGTACATTAATAAAAGGTGAACCACCTGGTTATTCTTTTAAAATTCTATGTTGTATTTCTATATAGACAGATTGTAAAAATAAAAATAACAGAATGAATGCAAATGATCTATAGATTGCTCAATAATTTAATTCATTAAAATCTTCAAATTCATCAAAATGAAATATACATGCATTGCTGATATATTAATAACAAATTAATATATCATTATTAATAATATAATTATTACATACCTTTGTCTCATTTTCCACTTGTAATTGTCAACGGGTCAGTAAGAAGATCCCATTGTTCTTAAAAATCACAATCACCTGAAAAATAGCAATTATTAAAAAAAAATAATACAAAACTAATTAAAATATATATAAATTAAAAAATAATACATAAATTCCTACATATAAAAAACCTCTTTGTAAGATATATACAAAGATGTTACCTAATATATTTTATGGGCATAAAAATATAATGCAACCCCTAAAAAAAAATATTTTTCGCCGTACCTAAGAAATATATCAATGATTTATGAAATAGCTTTCAATTGAATAATAAAATTAAATTAGACCTAAAGAATTTATAAAACTATTTAATTTTGTAGACGTGAGTCATGAATAAAATTCTGCATACAAAGTGCATGTCGAGCGAGTTTACTAATGTATTATGCAATTAAAGCCAAAACTGCACAAAAACAGGTTTTACAGTAATCTATTTGCTTTATTAAATACAAAAATAATTATAATATTAAATGTATATAATCGGAATGTTATATATTAATAACAACTACAGTCAACGTCAAGGCACGTACGCAAACAAAAACCGTGTTAAAGCTCCGCGTAGTACAGAAATCGCGTTTCAGGAGGGTTCAACAAACAAAATATATTCATAAATAATACTTACATATCACATTCAGTTATCCAAGAATTCAAAGCACAAACAATTAAAAATTTCACTAATACTGTCCTGCTAATTTCGGCATCTCGAACATACAACGACAAAATCAACCCGGGTTGCTTTGGCGCCCCGGGTCGACGCGCCGTTGATGTGGAGCCTGCCGAAGGCAGACTGCAACTGAAGTCAAAACCTCAAAATTTGTCATAAGGTCAACTATCCATAGACATTAGGCAATGTAAAGATGAGAACGTCTGTTGGTAAACAAATCCATTGAAGGTTTGTCAAACTATCGATATTGTGAATGAAAGTGCCCTCTGGTTGGTGTAAAAATGTATTTGATTTTAATTTATATTTAAAGTATTTTGGCAACGGTAACGGGAACAATCAGATTTATAAAAAAAAAATCAGACAAAAATATTTTTTGAAAGTAATAGAATATTAATGTATTTTATTTAAAACCTGTGAAATGTATGAAGTAATTCTAATTCAATTAACCGAAATAATAAATTTTTTTAATATATTTTTATTTCAAAATATACTTTTTATCACGAAACGAACTATAAAAATTACTAGGTTCTATCATTTTTTTTATATAGTCTACTAGTCTACATTTATTCCAGTATACCTGTTTACCCGACTGCTCGTCTACTTTTATACCAGTCTGCCTGTCTGCCTGTCTACCTGTCTACCTTCCTACTTATCTATCAATTTATCAGTCGACCTGGCATCTCTCTATCATTATACAACTTTATCTGTCCACCTGTGTATTTGTATATCATTATACAACTTTATCTGTCTACCTATCTCAATTTCTATATTTTCACATAATTGCTTATTTACCTGTGTAGCTGCCTACCAGTCTACCTGTCTACCAGTTATAACTTCCAATATGCTCACCTGTCTACTTTTCTTCTTTCCAACTTTTCTATCGGTTTACCTGTCTACCTGCAAACCTATCGAATTGTATATCTGTTTATCACAATAATTATATTTGTGCATGAATTATTAATAATGATTTGTAAAGATCAAATTTCACCAACGAATTTGCAATTTTTTTCTGCTGCATCTCCAAAACAGCATGACCTGCCTTCCCAAAAACCTAATTGGTTCTTCATTTCGTCAATACAAGTAAAATGTTTAAATAATATTTCAAATCGGATTCCGTTTTCTAAAAAAAACTGTCTTTTCTGAGATTTTTCTGCTGTGATTCTACTAAACGGGTGGACCTGCCTTTGCCAAAATCTAATCAACAATAGAAATCGAATGTTATGTATTATAAATATTTCAAATGGGATGTTCTGTTTCCTTAAGAAACCTCTCATTTTCGCTCTGTGCCTTCCAAAGGGGTAGACCTGCCTTTTCCAAAAACTAATCAGCAATAGAAATCGAATATTTATTAAACCAAATCGGTTGATCCGTGTTCTCGAAATTGTGGACAAACAATTGTATCCGCACATGCATACACACACAGAAATACATACATACACAAAACATATCTATTTTATCGGTTTGAAAGGAAGCTTCGAAACGTAAAGATATGTAAAAACTAGTGGGGTGTATGGCAAATTGCTGAAACTTCCCGTACCGTAATTCAAAATCTTGGTACGGAACCCATACAAAAATTTACACAAAATGTGTACACATTATTGAAATCTCTATAAAATATCTGATAATTTGATGTTCATATGTCCAATGAACATTTTTAACCGCCAAATGACATTTTTATTGACTTATTTTTATTGAGAGCCCATAACCGCTAGACCTGCCTTCCCAAAAATTTAATCAGTTCTTGATCTTGTCAATACAAGTAAAATGTTTTTTGAATTATTCAAATCGGTTGATCAGTGTTCCCGAAATTGTCGACAAAAATTTGTATCCGCACATATACACACGCACACACCTATACCAATTTTTACTAAGGTTTGCCAAATGTTCATAAACCGCTGAAACTTAAAGATATATACAAATTTTCATTTTAGATTTTTTTTGCTATTACTATAACTTACCCTACAGATTAGTAAACAATGTTTTAAAAAACTTGAAATATCTATTACCATCGAATTGAAAATTTAGCTGGGAATGAGTATTATACATATATTTTCTAGGAGAAAAATCTCTGTTTTCAACATAGCAAACGAGGAAGGCGTAAAAGACGTGTCCATCAGCCAAAGACGTTGTCGTTTTCCAGAAGAAAATCACGGCATGGACAGCCACGCCGCCTACAGTTACAGCGCCTGCATAGTACAGTGCAGGAGAGAAGCCCAACTCAGGATGTGCAAATGCACCAGTCACCTTATGCCGAATGCACGTAAGTAAAAGATTAGTTGAAAAATCATAGAACAAAATTTATTTCATAATTTTTTGTTTGCAGCTCAGCGCATACATTGTAACATGACCGGTCTGGTTTGCCTTAATCAAAACAATGACAAATTGGCAGCTGTCGTTGCGAGATGGTCGCAAATACGTAAAGGGCTGGTTTGCGATTGTCTGCCGTCCTGCACAGAAGTCGATATATCAGTTCGGCAAGAAAGTCTGATACCGTGAGTAGAATAATAAGTAGACCTATGTTTTGAAAATTGTGTAAGTCCACTAAAAATCTAGTGCCATCGTGCCTTAAGGCAAATTTCTGGACCTTTCCTTACCGTAATAAAATAGTCGAGGAATTTTAAATGCTTTCAAATATATTATTATAAATATTGTAACTTTCATTATTCGTATTTTATATACAAAATATAAGAACTTATAAATTGGACGACGACATTCATACGTGTTCACATAACAAGTAAATGAATAAAACTTAATCAAGCTGAATTAGAATAAAGGACCTTATCTCATATTTTTAATGATTACAAAGAAGAAATTTCAAAGTTAAAATTATTTACTTGAAGTATATAAGTGAGCTTTAGAATTTTAGCTAAACATTTTCTATATCAATAAAAAAACATTGAAATTTTTTTCCCTTCCCAAAAACTAATTTCTTCACACTTCATACAAGCAATCTTTTGTTTTTTGAATCTTTCGAATCGAATTCTCCATTTTCTTAAAAACAGTAATTTTTAGCATTTTTTGCTCTGTATCTCCAAAACAGGTAGACCTGTCTTTGTCAAAAACTAACGATCACGTATATTTTGAATCAATCTAATCAGATGCCCGCCTATTTTGAATCAATTTAATCTGATGCACCGTTCTCGCAAATTCTTTTGGTCACTTTTTGTTCCGTATCTCCGAAACGTCTGGACCTGCCTTTGCCAAAAACTAATCAGCAGTCTCACATCAATACAAATCGAATGTTTTTGAATCATTCAAATCGGTTGATCCGTGTTCACAAAGTCGTCGACAAAAATTAGTATCTCGACATACATACGCACACACATACATCCATTTTTTCTAATTTATGCCAAAATGTTCAGAAACCTTTGAAACGTAAATATATAAAAATTTTCATTTTTCATTTTTTCACGATTACTATAACTTGAACAATGACTATTATTTTTATTAGTGATTATAAAATTACCAATAAACTTTAAAAATTTTCAGATCTGATAATCCGATAGCCCAAGTAGAAATTTCTATACAATCATTGCCGACAGAAAGATATCGCAGACAAGTCGTCAGAGGAAAATTGGATTTGGTCGGTAAGTTGCCCTTTTATTTCCTTCCCTTAAATAAGGAGTCTGAGAACTACTTCTAGCCATAATCAAAATCGTCAAAAAGAATTATCAACAGTCGATACATAAATTGATGTAGAAAATTTTACAGATTATTCAATATTGTAGAAAATGTTACACATGATTTAAAAATAAATACCGAGCATGTTCCTAAAACATACACCGAGAATTTCCTAAAAACATTGCTGATTGCTAAAAAACTTTTATAATTGAACCACCAGTCGAAGGCCTCTAATATTTTAGTATGTTCTGCATAAAAATAATCAAAGCAAGTCCTTATAACGTTTTATCATATGGATTTAAAATTTTGAAATAGGTTCTGTTTTATTTTAAATTTTTCAGTATCCATGGGAGGTACAACATCATTATTTGTAGGTGCCAGTTTGCTAAGCTTTGTTGAGCTAATTTATTATTTCACTGTACGAGTATATGGAACTTATTATATGAAGAAAAAGAATAAACAATAAATTAATAGGCTAGGCCAGGGCTTCTTAAACTATGGGTTGCAACCCCAAACGGAGTCGCGTGAAAAAATTTTGGGGTCGCGAGAGATTTTATTGTCAAATATTTATATCATTTTATAATACCACGTCTTGATTTTTGTATGTTCTCAACAAATTCTTAAACTATATATTTTCTTATGTATATGTCTGTCTCTATCGTTACCAAATAAATGAATCATTGCAAAATATTAATGTATTTTTTTATATGTGTGGGGTCGTCGAGAAACTCGGAATCATAAATGGGGTTGCCAAAAAAAACTCGCAATCGTAAATGGGGTTCCAAAGAACAAAAGTTTGAGAAACCCTCGGCTAGGCAAAAAAATGTTAATAAAATTGTAATGAATAAAAATACATATAGTTATGTATATATAAAATTTATTAAATAAATATCTCTTACGTACTAGATTGTGTTTGATCCTCTGCTTTCTTTTTACCATCAACCTCGGCATCTACATTTTTGTTCTCCTTATTAATACAAGTCAACTTTTCAAATTCTTCAATGGATCCAGTGATTTCAACACGTTCTGGCCCGGGTTGAGATTCTTCAACCACAGATGGAGCTGTAGTATCATTTGTATTTGTATCATTTTTTGCACTTTGTGAAGACTTTTGTTTTTTCTTGATGCTACTGCATAATTTGCTTGTTACCAGAACTTTTTTGACTTTATCGCTATTTATCCATCGGGCTTTCCAGTCTGTATTTTCTTCCAAAGCTTCCTCGTCGGAAGATAAATCATCATTGGATTGGGAATCGACGTTTTTGGTAATAATTTTTTTATCCTTATTACCATCGTCGTCGATCAATTCTTTCTTGATGTCTAACGTTGGTTCCTCCAAATCCAACTCACCATCTTCCCTATCATCCTTGAAATCATTTTCATTCTCACTCGATATAATCAATGGTGAATTATTCAAATCGACTATTGAAATATCACTTTCCGAGTTCTTTGATGTCCTTCTATTAGTTACAGCATCACTGAGCAGCTCCTGCTTCTCAGTATCACTCACATACAAATTAATTTCATCATCATCCTTGTCAACTTGTTCATTAAAAGATACGTTGACTTTCAAACTTTGTTTACTGCTCGGCTCGATCTGTCTGGTTCTATTATCGTTTGATAAAGTTCGTTTCGAGTGACTTTTTTTCTTTTTTCTAGAACGTCTACATCCGTGCACCGATTTTTCAGAGCCTGATGTTCTGACACGTTCTTCGTTTTCTATGGGAATATTACTATTAGAAGTAATATTGTTGACGGGTGATTTAGGATGTTGGTTAAGGATTTCGTGATTATTTTTGGTCCTGTAATTTCGATTTGGTTTTGTGGAAGGACCAGGTTGCGCATCATCATTTTTTTCAGTTTGGGTTACTCGTTCTAAAATTGTATAGACTGATAATGATGCGTAACAAAATGCAAATATTTCGATAAAGCACCGTTATAAATAAATAAAGGGATAAATAAATACCTGTACCCCGACATACGAGTGTTTTGAGATACGAGTTGCCGAAGGAGCGATTGGTTGCTTCGACATACAAGCAAAATTCGAGATACGAGTTAATGACAAAATGAAAATATGAAAAATTTCGTCTGTTTCAAAAATGACTTTTTTACCATAGAAATATTTTGGCTGTTTTATGATAGTAAATTAATTTATAGTTAGTCAAATTATATCTCATAATATTAACTAACCTAGAAACGTTGTATAGCCCATAAGAAATATTTCTAGAAAAATTTTAGTTATTTTTTTTTATTTCATTATCTGTTACAACTGCTAAAAAAATACTAGTAACATTAGATATATAAATAAAATATAATACAAAGTGAAGGACAGTATTTTCATTGAAATGATAATTAAATATAAAATAACTAGTCGTGCATGGCATCGTGCTTTAAGGCAAATTGCTGGAACTTCCCGTACCGTAATTCAAAATCTTGGTATGGAACCCAAAAAAATTTCCACATAATGTGTACACATTATTAAAAATCTCTATAAAATATCTGATAATTTGATGTACATATGCCCAATAAACATTTTTGACCGCCAAATGACATTTTTTAACTTATTTTTATTGAGAGTCCATAACTGCTGGACCTGCCTTTCCGAAAATTTAATCAGTTTTTTATCTTGTCAATACCAGTGAAATGTTTTTTGAATTATTAAAATCGGACGCTCCGTTCTCTTAAAAACTGAGTGACCGTTTTTGGCCCTTTTTGCCCCTTGTCTTCGGAAAGGCTAGACCTGCCTTCGCCAAAAACTAATAAACAAGTTTCCTTATCAATACGAATCGAATGTTTTTTGAATTATTCAAATCGGTTGATCCGTGTTCCCGAAATCGTCGACGAAAATTTGTATCCGCGCACATACACACACACATACATCCATTTTTTCAAGGTATGCCAAAATGTTCAGAAACCATTGAAACGTAAAGATATGTAAAAAATTTCATTTTCGATTTTTCAATGATTACTATAACATACCCTACGAGTAGTTAAAAAATAACTTGTTTAATTAATCATTTCCTAATCGAATTTCAGTGAAGGAAATTCATTTTCAGAACTGTTTTCCACAACAGTAAAAATAGACAAATAATAATAAATTAATAATTATTTTTAATATTCATAAAGACTTAACAAAACCCACTGTGCTAGAACGAATTAATGTCATTTCAATGGAAAAAATTGCTTCGAGATACGAGCTATTCGATATACGAGCGCGATCACCGAACGAATTAAACTCGTATGTCGGGGTACCACTATATATATTAATATACATTTGTATTTTAAACATTTATACTCTATAGATATGGATTCGGAGTGAAATCACATTCAGAACAATAACAAGTTTAATATGATATATTTCAAAGTTCATGAAGCAAATAATGATCATAAATAAAAATACAAAAATAAAAATATATATCAAACATAAATTTCTAAGACCAACCTTTGGGTGCATGTCTTTTACTATTCGTCTTTGCATTAACATCATTGTACTCATCTTCGGAATCCTCAACTTCTTTTTTAATAGGTTCTAAAGCCAATTGAGATCGTATTGCACGAGCCCGAGCTTGTAATTCAACTAATTCTAAAACTGTCATTTCTTTGTTTGCTGAAAAAATCATAGAATTGATAAATAAATAAATAAATGAATAAATGTTTATATATACAAGTAATTACCTGGTTTATTTTTTTTATTTTTCTCTTCATCCGACATAAATGTGACTGAATCATCAGAAGATATTTCATCCAGAGAAATGTGTTCTAAAAAATAATACTATTAATATTCATTATCCACTCGTACATAATACAAGAAGTAATGATAAAATACCAACCAATTATTTCACCGACATCTGAATCACTGTTTGTATCCGATGGACATTTTGTACCTATTCAAAATAAAAAAAATTATGTATATAATATATGTAAAAAAATTTATGTGTATAAATTTATTACCAGTACCTTGTATTATAGACTTCAATCGTTTTGTAGATATTCCCAAAACTTCATCTAAGCATAATTCTTTTATTTGCGCTATTTCTAAGTCCTGTAATGATGTAACAAACCAGTTAAATATTAATAGATTGTTAAATGTTTATTATTATTTTACCTTTAAACAGTCAGGAGCCATCGATTTTAATTTTTTAGGTTTAATAGTCATAAAAACTTGTTGCATTAGTGCTACTCGGTCATCCACATAGAAACTTAGTTCTTTTAACTCTGAAAAATAAAATCTTTATCAAAAACTGTTATATTGATTAAATATAAATAAAATATTCATAGCTAATATGTTTTCATTTTCACTAAAGATATAAAATTTAAATGACATAAAGTGAAAAACTTATATTCTAAAAGAAAGTTTTTGAAAACGTAAAAGAATAAGTGACACAAATTTTATATATAAATTGCTTGAAATATTAAAGACAAATTAAAGAAAGCACATTCTTTCACATATTTCACAATATTTAATAAACTTTTACCATTATTAGCAGTTTTTTCTTCTTTAATTTTTATCGGTGCAATAACCTTCTTGCTTTTAATTTTCATTTTAGACATTTGCTTTTGCACAAGTATAATTTAATAACTGTATAGGAACTTAGAAATTAAAATATATCAAAATCAGAGCCATAAAAGATCTTTTGCACTATTCCCTTGTTTCAATAAATAGACATTAAAACTTCTAATAGATTTATTTATTTCTTTTGATTTGTCAAAAACCGCATTGTTATTTTGCTTAGGACCATCGCGCACTAACGATATTTGTCACATCTTTCAATAAATTCACAGAAACTCAGTTATTTAATAAAATAATTAATGCTGTTTTAAGCACTACTGAATAAAACTAAAACAATTTTTATATGGGTAATAAGTAATGAATAAATTATTATTTGTGTTAAATTATTCATACTTTAATTTTATTTAAATGTTTTGTGTTTAATATTTTTTATAACAATGTTGATGCTCTTCTCAGTATTAACTTACTGAATAATGACGAACATACATTGTCAAAACGTACAAAATAAATAATTCAAATATTTATTGTTTTTAATACGATAATTTGGCTAAAAAAATACTCTGATGATAAATATTAACATTGAAAGGACTAGTTTATTATCGTGTGCGCCCGTCTTTATTCTTCCACGACCAACTTCATGCTTCTAAACTGTCAATTCCTGGAATTTACCTGCAAATTGTATAGTGTTTATTTATAAAATGTTACATAAAAGCTTTAAAAAATAATTATTTACCATTCACTACTTATTTTTATCAAAAAACAAATAAACATTACTGTGTCATGTTACATTTAACACTCAACTATACATAAATAAAAGAAATGTCATAATATATAAAGCCTATTTAATTTTCATTTAGGGTTAATTCTCTATAATTATTTATAGTGTTAATATGTTTACAAAAGCAAAATATTTCTTGTGATTTTATATATTTTATTTCAATAATCCCAAATGGCCTCTCGAAAAAACCGTCCTAACCTTAAACTACAAGTGACTGATGAAGTCCCTAAACCTGTGTAAGAATTGTAACAAATCTGCTATTAAAATTAACTGCATATTGTAATGGATATTTTTAATATAGAACGCCACCGAGAAATTTGGATAAGAGCACGACAATTACAATTGATGACAGAAATTTCTCTGTGGCCGCAGATGATTTGGAAAAAATATGTGATTTGGGAAGAGGGGCATATGGTAATAATAGAAACAGTTTTAATTTGTCTAATGTTTGGTTAATTTCAATGTGTTTAATTGAAGGAATTGTTGAAAAGATGTGCCATAAGCCCTCCGGCACAGTAATGGCAGTTAAAAGAATAACTGCCACTGTAAATAGTCAGGAACAGAAAAGGCTACTTATGGATCTCGATATATCTATGAGATCAAGTGACTGTCCTTATACAGTGCATTTTTACGGTGCCTTATTCAGGGAAGGCGATGTTTGGATTTGCATGGAGGTAAAAAAATACAAATATTCATAATATTTACAATAATAATAATTTTAAATAAAATAAAGTCTTTTATTTAGGTCATGGACAAATCGTTGGACCAGTTTTATATGCTGGCATATCAAAATGGTCGAAGTATACCTGAAGATATTTTGGGCAAAATTTGTTTTAGTGTAGTGAGTGCTTTAAACTATCTGCATTCTAATTTACGAGTTATTCACAGGTTGTAACAGCAACTATGACCTCAAAAATTATCATTAAAAAAATCTTCACTACAAATTTTAATTATTTTAGGGATGTAAAGCCATCAAACATACTTATAAATCGTAAAGGAGATGTAAAAATTTGTGATTTTGGAATTAGTGGATATTTGGTTGATTCAATAGCAAAAACTGTTGATGCTGGGTGTAAACCATACATGGCAGTAAGTATCTTGATAAATAATGGTTTTATTTTATTACCTGAGTAGTTAGTAATAGCCTTTTTTCTTTACAGCCTGAAAGAATTGATCCCAATGGAGATCCATCACATTATGATATAAGATCTGATGTCTGGTCACTTGGTATTTCTTTATTGGAATTGGCAACTGGTAGATTTCCTTACAATACATGGGGAACACCTTTTGAACAACTAAAACAGGTAAAAATTGTTAAATATGTATAACAAACAGTAAATGATTTTTTACTTATTACTTTTTACATCAGGTTGTGAAAGATGATCCTCCTCGTTTACCAGCCGGTGTATATAGTGAACAATTTGAAAACTTGATAGAACAATGTTTACAAAAACAATTTGAACGTAGACCCAATTATCAACAGTTATTGCAGCATGAATTTTGTGTGACCCATCGAGATAAACCAACAGATGTTGCATCATTTGTGAAAGATATACTAACGTTTGATACAGTACAATAAATTTGTTCTTACTAATATTTAGTATTAAACTAATAAATTATAATAATGTAGTTAACATAACTTGCTGCTGTTAGATTTTTTGTAAGTTATAATCCTGAAACTTGCAAGATTTGTTTTCAAATGTTAAAATTTATATATAAAATCATATTTAACATCATTTACATCATATAACATGTATATTTTGTTTAAATAAAACCTCAATTTCTCGTGTAATTTAATATATTGAATTGTATATTGATACAGATTTTACATTTAGAAATTTATTCTGCCATCAACAGACACACTACCATCGTAAGATGTTTGGTTTTAGTGGTATTTGTAGTTCTTATGAGCAGCTGAAATTAAAAGACGTGTATAAACTATATTGCTATTAAAATTAAAATTTAAATTATGTTCTGGAAGAACTTACAGATCTTGCCGTAGTTCAAAGCATAGAACAAAATCATTGATCCAACAGTCAATTGATAGAATCCTGCAATTCCAGCTAGCTTTCTTGGGTGAATATATTGTGCTGCCAACCACCAAGCTAATATAAACACAATATAATTAGGTTTAAAAAGCAATGAAACAGATTTTGAATATTTTCTACTATTATCAATACTCATACCACGACTGACACAAGCAGCCATAGCTTGTGGAGACTTATTCCTGCGCCAAACCATGCTCCAAGTTCACCTATCTTTACTTGACTCAAAGGAGTATCGGCTAAAAAGATATTACATAATAACAAAAAATTATTCAATATTACATAACATTATTTTTTTTTAAAATTCGACATGCGTGGTACATATTAGGTAAAGTTTTTCAATATATCACCCACCATGTAACGAAAACTTATGTATTAAATGAAAAAAACTATAGTAAGCACTTTTATACAGATTTAACCAATATATATGTTACCACTTACCTTTGCCGTAATAGCGAGCTGGATCGTACGGTCCGTGCACATTGGGTTATATTCAGCTGGATAATCTCCGAAACCCATTTTGATAATTAAAATAAAATTAGTTTTAGAAAATTGTGATCCCCTGTCAAATGGATCACCTTGCTATGAGTATAGAAAATGGCGACAGGTTACTTTTCCGATGGTTAGATGGAGCTGCGCAACATATCTCCAGCGCGACGTTTGAAAGAAAGTGCGGGAAAATTTAAACAGGAAATTATTATAGAATAATTGTAATAACAGATAAAAAAAATCTGTACTTTTCGGTGATTATTAAATTTTCAATTACTAGTATTATTTAATTTGTTATTTACAGTTTTTTCTAGCGTTTCTAAAGTGAAGTTGGCGGTAAGTTTGTTGCTCTATGGTGAAGTTGGTGGTGAGTCTCATATATATGTGATGTTATGATGGCCGTACTAACTGACGTCAAAAACGGTTGAAACTAATTTTTTACTTAGAAATATAATTATAGTATTTTATACAGTGCATTTTATCTATAATAACATTTTTATTAAATAGTGTGTTTTTATTACGAAGGCGTTATATTAAATATATTTTAAATACTGATTCTTTACAATGAATAGTTTTGGTGCGGTTCAAAGAGACCCTAGTGTCATTGCCTGCAATGGCGGTTTTAAATCGGATGACAATTGCAAAAGATTGAGCTTTGAAGATTCAAATATAAAGGTATTCCTACGGATACGCCCCCAAGAAGGTAACGATCTAATAGACTTTTCAATAGATGAATCAGTTTTCGAAATTAAAAACTCAAAAAGTGGCGTTGGTAAATCTTTCACATTTTCCAACGTTTTTCCTGGAACACAACACAACGTGAAGTCTACAATACATGTGTGGGCAGCTTGATGACAGATTTTTTGTCAGGCAATAATGCCACAATTATGGCTTATGGTACATCTGGAGCTGGTAAAACCCACTCTATATTAGGGACTATAAAATCACCAGGGTTAGTCCCCAGAATTCTTTTTAATATCTTCAAACTAATACCAAGCTCCGAACATAAAATTTATATGAAACCAAATGACAATATGGAGGCTGAAATTTTAAGCAATATTGCCAGAAATGCCGACATAAAAAATTTGGAAACGATTTTGAAATCCTGTCAGCAAAATAAAAGGCGTTCCATTCTTGCTTATGCAAGTATGGAAGATGCCATGAACAACGATGGAAAGCAGTCCAATTATATTGTAGAACCAAATTGTAGATCTTACATATGGATTTCCTTTGCTGAAATTTATAATGAAAATGTTTATGATCTACTAGATACCAAAACTGTAAAGAATGGTCAAACAAGGCCTAAGCTGAAGTTGCAGGAAAATAAACATGCCACGTACTATGTTAAAGGCCTTACTAAAGTACTAGCCAGGTAATAAAAATAAATATAATCATAAAGTAATCAATACTAATGTTAATTTTATTTTTTGTAATTAGAAGTGGCGAAGAAGCTTACAAAATTCTCAAATACGGTCAAAGAAATCTGCAATATGCGGCAACAAAAATAAATATGTCATCAAGTCGATCACATTGTGTGTTTACAATATATTTGGTAAATCTGATAATACCACAGCCACTGTGAGCAGATTTAACTTCTGTGATTTAGCCGGTTCGGAAAGAGTATCTAATACAAATCACACAGGAATGAGGCTGAAGGAATCTCAGGCTATAAATTCAGCTTTGCATGTTCTGGGAAGATGTATAAAAATTATTAAAGAGAATCAAATGAATGGAACTAAGCAAATGGTGCCGTTTAGAGAATCAAAACTGACCAGACTCTTTCACAAAGCACTGTTGGGTAAGCATAAGAGATAAGTAAAAGCTACTCCTTTTACTTATATAGCACATTTGAAATCAGAAATTTTTAAACTAAACATATTATATATATATATGTATATATAGATAAAAATATGACCTAAAGAATTTTAGGTCAAGAACGTTTGTCACTGTTAGTAAATGTTCATCCAAAGCAAAT